TGTATGGACATACTGAAACTTTTGAGACACTTTTTCTGCCCCTTTGAATTCATGGGAAGGTGTGCCTCTTCCCCTCCCCCAGCTCCATTGTTCTCCAGCAGGGAGTTGTCCCAGGGACACTGCCAGACCAGTGGGAACTGGTTTGGGCAGGAAAAGCCATGCTTCCTTTGGTCACAAAGGACTTTGACCTAACTTTTAAACCCCTGAACCTATTCAAGTGAATTTTGGATATGCTTGTCCCCAAGTTATACTGGTTAATGTATGTACGGTGTAAACTCACAAAGTTATAAAAATGTATAAAAAGTGTAACTTTTCAGCTTGGAGATAATTGAGTAGATACAGTAATTGACTCAATTATCTCCTAAGCAGAGGGGAGGATTTTGTATGTTTGTGCTGGGTGTGTTTTACGGTTTGCCTGTAAATGATTGGTTGTACTGTGTCCCACCCTGTGGGATGTCCCCTTGCATGGGGACTTGCATAAAAGCCAGTGTGTGGTCATTAAAAGTGAGATCGTCTTGTACCTTCATGAAGTTTCGGCTCATGTTTGGGGGATTGGAGAACTGGGGATTGCTATAATCACTATACTCCCCAGGGTATAATCACTAAGCTCTGCTAAGAGCTTGTTCCTGCTTTCTGGAATTCGGAGAGGTCGACCTACTGGAAGCTGGACCCTGGTCTTGGGTCCAGAGTGGGTGGAGTCAGCGAGACCCCAACCAAGCTGTGGCGGTTCGTGGGGTCTGCAGTGGTTATGGTGTCGGGCAGAGTGCTTGGAGTCCTCGGAAAGCACTAGGAGCATCTGTCAGCAGAAGGTACGCGGTCGGGGTGCCAGTGGTTCCGTTACAGTGGTGGCAGCGGTGGGATGGCGCCCTAGTGCGAGGAGAAGCAGCGCAGAGGCACCGGTAGCGTTTGGAATTACAATTTGAGGGCAACGCTAGTATTCGTACAGCGTCCCTGGTCACAGCAAACATGACCTATCGCTTGGAGGGTGCCACTTACAGGGAGGAGGTAAAGAGGCAGTTAACTAGGTATGGCCCGGATCCCTCGGTAGAGACGATCCTGGCAACCATGCGCAAGTTGGATGAGGAGAATCGAGCATCATGGGAATTTGAGCTCCAATTGCAGAGATTGGGGCTGTGGGCAACTGGTCTCTCTCCCCAGCGGCAGCCAGCAGCCCAGGGAGAGGAGATTGTCGGTCCCTCGTCCCTGCAGCAACCAGCACCCCAGGGAGAGGAGATTCTCGGTCCCTCGTCCCTGCAGTAACCAGCATCCCAGGGAGAGGAGATTGTCTGTCCCTCGTCTCTGCAGCAACCAGCATCCCAGGGAGAGGAGATTGTCGGTCCCTTGTCCCTGCATCAACCAGCACCAGGCAGCGTTACCGGGAGTCCAAACAGTCGGTTGGACTCCCCAGCGGCAGTGTGTTACACCTCAGCGGCAGCATACCCTACCAAGGGGAGACCCTACTCCCCCAGACGGTGCAGATGGGACCGTAGTCTCTGCACCCAACATACAGGGATGCTGGACAGCCTGTCCAGATCCCCAACTACCCCCACAGGGACACCAGGAGGAGGGGGTAAGTACTATTTCCCCTCCCCAGCCAAAGCCTAACCCAGCTGCCCAAGCAGAAGCGCTGGCATCGGGGCAGAGCGCATTTGGCCTCTGCCCCCCAAGCTCCCACAGCGTGTTACCCAGTGACCTCAGAGAAATACCCAGGTGCAGTAAATGTGTGTTGTGGGGGGGCTACTCATGTACTTGTTCACTGTGGGTGGGTTTATCGACTAACTCAGGCACTGTCAGACAGGTCAGGTACCTGGTTAGTCTCCCCCCCAAAGGGGAGATGTGTGACGAAATGCCTTTCGTCACTAGATTTTTAGGTGACAAGTTGACATTTGCCCCTGGCTGTTGGAGGAGCCTGAGTGCCAGCCTCCTGCCTCATGACTACGGCCCTGGGTTGTATGGCACTTTACAAACCTTATTTGTGCTAATGGATTTATATTGTGCTGCTGCTGGCCCTTTAAGACCTGCCTTGTGGGTTATGGGACTGGTGCTGGCCCTTTAAGCACCTTTTTGGGGTATAGGGAAAATTGGGACACTGCCCCATTAAGACGGTGTCCCCCGACTTGTTTGGGACACTGCCCCTTTAAGACGGTGTCCCCTGTGTCCCCAGACCTGTTTAAAACCCTTTGTGCCTGGCTATTTCCCACTTGTTTCAGTAAATGGGGCTTACTGAACCAAGTACCACACAGGCAGACCACCCAGAAGTGGAAGTGTGTCGGCAATTTACCTCCTAGAAGCTGCGGTTAACCGCAGCTTAATTGACAATGCTGGGTGGCCTTTGTTTGTTTGCCGAACACGTGGCGGCGGCCATCTTTGTTAATGCGAACGAGGTCGGCGGTATGTGTAACCAAATTCATGGAACTAAAATCGGCTGAGCCCTACCTTCTCCCATACTGATTTTACAGCTGCAGAGACTAAGTCCCATTCGTTTTTTCAGCCGTTTTTTCAGCCTGAAATAGACCGGCCGCACAGCCCAAATCTATGGAACTGTTTCGGGCATGAAAATGTGCTTGCGGTCGGTCATAAAGGGACCTCCAGCTAACTTTTTAACCCCTTGATGGAATTGTCTGATTTTTGGTTATGTTTATGTTTAAAGTATGCTGATTAATAATATGTAAGTTTTATTAATAGTGGATGTATAGTTTTGGAGTTATGAAAGTTGGGTAAAAAGTGTGTTTTAAAATGTATAGATAATTGGGTTACCTCTCAGGCTAAGGGGAGGAGATGTGTGGGATGTAACCATTGTGTGATTGGGTAATGTATAATTGTCTGTGGGTGTGTCCCTTGCAGGGGAGAATTGCATAAAAGCAGAGTATGTGCCATTAAAGGATCAGATCATCATGTACCTTCATGCAGTTTTGGCTCATGTTTGGGGGATTGGAGAAACTACAATCTGGGGATTGCTACAATCACTATACTCCCCAGGGTATAATCACTAAGCTCTGCTAAGAGCTTGTTCCTGTTCCTGCTCTCTGGAATTCGGAGAGGTCAACCTACTGGAAGCTGGACCCTGGTCTTGGGTCCAGAGTGGGTGGAGACAGCGAGACCCCAACCAAGCTGCGGCGGTTCGTGGGGTCTGCAGTGGTTATGGTGTCGGGCAGAGTGCTTGGAGTCCTCGGAAAGCACTAGGAGCATCCGTCGGCGGAAGGTACCCGGTCGGGGTGGCAGCGGTTCCTTTACAGTCACAGATGTGTAAATTAAACATTAAATAGACACAAATTCAAAACTGGCAGGGTGGCGGTCCGGTGCCCGGGACCCAGACACTGTCTGGGCGGCGGTGCGAGGACCGAGACCCAGTATGCCTGATGTTCAGAGTAGGAGTCACAGTGTGAAGGTGGATTAGCAGGGTCTGGTGCAGGGTAACCACACGCCCCCTGGTGTTGAGTACCAGTGTTTGGGCAACCACATAACAGAACCCTGATGCAGCTTCAGTGGATCACAGGAACTAGGAGCTGGAATTAAGCAGACCTCCCAAAGCTGAATAGGGAGGCTCTGCAGCAAGAATGTATCCAGTACAGAAACAAGGCAAGACTAGAGATAGACACCATACATGGAAACAAGACAGAACTAATAGAACCCAGAACCGGAGAAGGATAGGAAGCTAAACCCAGAACATGTACACAAGACACAAGGTAAACATGAACATAACATGGGCATGACTGGACAGGACTGTACATGGACTGGGCATACAAACTAAAACAAGACAAGATAAGATAGGCAAAACAAGAGGAGAAATAACTAAGCACTATATATGAAAATCATGGGGATTTAGTCACATTATATGATCATACATTGCATAAGCCTGCCAACAATGCCAATGTACCCCATATCTGGCAGGTCATACACTGCCTAATGTATGCTAAAACAACCAAAGAAGACATATATAGCGCTTATCTGCAAGAAAGGGCAGGAGCCTTGAGCAGCTGCCTGCAGCACACTGAAACAAAAAGGAATGATGGAAAACAAACGGGTGTGGCAAATAAAACAAACATTTAAATTAATCCAAGAGACTGGGAAATCCAGGGACGTTATATAAGAATGAACCCAGAAATCCCAGCATAAAGAAAACCAGACATAGAACAGAAAACCAAAAAAACAAGAAAAACTAAACAAGAATTGTAAAAAGAGTACTGGATACCAGAAGCTATAGCCAGAATGATCCTCAGCTAGGAACAGGATGTGTCAAAAACATTTTTTTAGAAGCACTTTAAAATTGGTGCCATGGTAAATATCATGTGCTCTGCCATCTTCAATATGAAAATCATTTATCATGTGACCTGGTGGCCATATTAGATTTCATGACAATTTATTATAATTTATATATATAAGTATATAAAATACTTATCTTTGCTGTTTAAAGGAGAATTAATACCTCAAACATTTTTTTGTAACAATTCTAATAATTATTACATAATAACCCATAATTATAGTTATCAGGATATTATATCCTTTAATGTAATATCCTAATATATATACAATCATGGAAAAAAGAAAGCACACCCTCTTTGAGTTTTATGATTTTGCATATCAAGACATAATAACAATCATCTGACACTTTAAATTAAGTAAATAAAACCTCAGATGAACAACACATGACATATTACACCATGATTTATTTAAGAAAAATAATTCCAAAATGGAGAGGCCATGTGTGAAAAACAAAGAACACCTTATGATTCAATAGCTTGTAGAACCAACTTTAGTCTTTAGCAGCACTAACTTGAAGTAATCATTTTCTGAATTACTTTATCAGTCTCTAACATGTTTGTGAAATAAATGTGTTCCATTCTTCTTTACAACGTTGCTTCAGTTCATTTGCTGGCATGTGTTTATGCACATCTTTTTTAAGGTCTCCCCACAGCATTTCAGCTGGGTTGAGGGCTGGACTTTGCCTGAGCCATTGCAACATCTTAATTCTTTCATTCTGTTGTAGATTTGCTGGTGTGCTTTGGATCATTGTTCTGTTGCAGGACCCAATTTCAGCAACACTTGAGCTGCCCGGAGAGATGGCCTCACATTTGACTCTAGAATACTTTGGTATACAGAGGAGTTCATGGTCGACTCAATGACTTCAAGGATCCCAGGTTCTTTGGCTGCAAAATAAGCCAAACCTCACGGTTTGCGCTATGCCCAAACATCTGTAATTTGGTCTTGTCTGTACAAAGGACATTGTTGTTTGTTCAGATGCAACTTTGCAAACCTAAGCTGTGCTGTCATGTTCTTTTTAGAGAGAAGAGGCTTTCTTCTGGCAACCCTTCCAAACAAACCATACGTGTTCAGTATTTTTCTAAGTGTACAGTTAATAGGTTTAAAATTTAACATGCTAACCGAGGCCTGTAGAGTCTGTAACTCTTGGGTTTGTTGCAATGTCTCAGAGCTTGACTTGAATGTTTTCCACTTTTGAATAATCTTTCTCACTTAAGAATGGGGGACTTTAAATTGTTTGGAAATTACCTTATAACCCTTCCCAGTTTGATGTCAGCAACAATTGCTTCTCTAAGATCATTGCTGATGTCTTTCCTCCTTGGCAACACAAGTTAGAATGCTGCAGAGAAGCAAACAGATAAAACTTTGGCTTTTATACAGATACTTAGAATCTTAATTTCTATGCAATCAGTAAGGGTGTACTTACTTTTTCACAAATGGCCTCTCCATTTTGGCTTTTTTTTTTAGTTCAATAAATCAAGACATGGTGAAGTAAGTGAAGCAAGGAGGACTACAGCACACAAAATGAGGGAACAGTATAAAGGTGTGTATTTTCTGTGGGTAAAATCATCTCAAGGCAGATTCTTGTGCATGGTATGAATTAAAAGTAATGCTAGTTGGAGCATCATGGGACCAACAATAGTTACATAAACAGGTCTTAGAACTCTTCTTCTAAACATGTTGTACATAACCAACACTGGAATTTCCTAACATGTATATCCCAGCATGCTTTCTATCATTACCATTACTTGTGCACTGGAAACAAAGCATATTTGTGTGTTGCCAAAAACTTCCTAGACTCTTTCTTTTGTTGCCCCAGACTATGTCTCAGCTGTTCAGATAGAGCAATTCTGTTTTTGCAGTGAAAACACAGATTCTTTACTGTCTACTGGTTTGTGACCTCAACAGCTTAGAGAGATGTCCCAGGTCTCTGGTTACCTACAGCACACATATTTTCGTCTGTTGTGTTATCTTCATTCGATTGTACGTAGTAAATTATATAGTGTTGAATTCTGATTGCACAATAACAAAGCACTAATGGATTGTTCATTAAATCCTCCTCAATTGCAAGCCATTTCAAGTCTTGATATTGTATACATGTTGTAAAACAGAAGACTGGGAAATAAAGGCATAGATTTTAACCATACCCTTTTGCTGTTCTTACCTATTTCCACTACAGAATGTCACTACTACTCACAGGGCCACAATGCAACCATCTCTAACCCTCAATCCACCACACCACATTTGCATTTGCTGCCTCATCCAAATTACTGTTATGCACAAAGTATGTATATTATATTTCAATTATATACTTTGACTTTACCTATGAGGCTTGCACTACCCAAAACTATTGTTAAAATAAAAATGTAAAATCTAAATCCTAACATATCATGACTCTTCTGGTACATCAACTGTTATGAAGGATTAATGCCTCTGACATAGAGAAGCACTCAATAGATTCCCTCCAAAAACTGTGTGATGCACGGATATCAAGTTTCTAGCCTGTAAGCTCGTCTGAGCAGTAAAATGTAGCTAGCATTTATGATAAAGTGGCTAGGCCAAACAACTCAAAATACGCCTTTAGGAATGCCCTGTGAGGCCTACTTTTAAAAATCATATGTCATCACAACGTCCAACAAGCGCTCTCACTGCAAATGTCCAGCTCCTTCTTCCAGCACTTAACTCTAGCCACACTTTAATGGCGTAAGTCCCTGAGCCACGTAACAAACCGCCTACATACTGCTGGGGAGCTCACCAATTGGTAATGCCAAGATCCCTCATAGTCAGACACAATGGGACAGTACACAAGATTTCCTCTGGGGCAGAAGTGCCCACACTAATGGCCAAATTGGGACTCTCGCATGCACCCACTTATGCATCCCAGCAGAACACCTGGAATCCTGCCAACCAGGAGTCTTTCGTCAAATGGTCCAAAGAGTCAACAGGCTCGGTTCCATGACTGGAATTATGGTCAATCTTGCTTCAAACTATTCTGAAGGAAGCTGTACAACCTTAATGTGCTGATGGCTCACCTTTTATATTTACTCTTTTCTTTTTACTATAACAGTAATGCAGTTGTATTCTGTTTGCAGTATTAGTTACCAATTTATGTACAATGCCCTCAGCTGTTCTGGGGAGAAAACACCTAGCTTATTAAGGTTGCATCGATAGTACGCTACAAAGCTATATAATCACAGCACAGTTAGATATTCAGACCACCCACCCTCTCACTGCCCCCTTGGTTAGGAGTAACTTAATCTCACAAGAGGCCTATGTCTTACTCAATAATACTATGCTAACTCTGGGGATCCCATATTTAGCCCATGTATGCTAACTCACATGAAGATGTTCACATCTGTACCCTGAATTAGTCGAATGGTTAGAGATATGCTGTGACTAAGGTGCCCACCCTTATACCATTAGCAACGCTTTGCCCACAGAGGCCCTAAATAATCACAACCAAAAATTGCCTGCCTTTTCGACAGTCCCTCCTGACACTTACTTTAGTTTAAAAACAGAAGAACAATATGGGTCACTGGTGTATACTTTATGTTTTTATTTTCTTATTCTATTATTTTTCTTTCTTTGTTTTTCTTTTCATTATTGCCTAGCATGGGATACTTCTCCCATCTTTCTATTATCACAAACAGTCATTCACACCTATTAGACTGTTACCATCTTGTACTTAATTATAAAATGTGGCTTTGTCACTTATTTTTTACCAGTACGACTTGTCTATGTTTATATTGTACAATTCACATGCATCAACAATAAAAAAAAATATATGCCATCCTAGAGGTCATTTTGTTTACTGAGCTGCCATATTGACTCAAAGGCTACATATGCACAGAAAATCACTATGGTAAGTTTCCAAGTTGAAGTGGGCATACCAAAATAACGTGGAAAGACAGTACATGAATGCACTGTTATAATAGTGAGACAATGTTAAATACAAATACTAAGAAGTTATTCCACTAACCCATATCAGGATTTAGAAATGTTATGTGAAAATGGAATTCATGTGTGTAAAAAAGCAAAATAATAGTATAACCACTGAATGGGGCCTGCATTTCCACAAAATACACCATTTCGAATACTCTCGGTGCCTACTTTTGAAAGTTGCATGCCAAAACAGTGGATATTACCTAGGCTGCCATACAGTCTCGAAATCTACAAAGGCCCCAAAAAATCACTTTGTCAGATATCCAGATATGAAGACTGAAATGGTCATGCCCCAGATTTTGCTATGTAACTTTCTAAAATCTAATTTTAAAAAACTGTACATAAGACATTGCTGAATACAAATTTGAATGTTTTAGAGCAGCAAAACGTATGATGATGATGATGATATCATCAGTGAAATAACAGTTTTTGTGTGAAAAATTTTAAAAAACTAATGTGAACACTAAATTTGGCAAGGTGCTGTGACTAAGTGGCTACTAAAAAGACTGTGAATATCCCAATTTAAATACTCTAGGTTGTCTACTTTGCAAATTGTATGCCATAATGGAGTAATTTTAATTCCTAGGCTGCCATATTGTCTCAAAGGCCACATAAGCCCACTAAACCAATCTGGCAAATTCCAATGTGTAAAAACTGAAACGGGCAAGCCCTATATTAGACCATTTTTTCTTTTTCAAAACCTCAGTAAACCTATACATGGGGTGCATCTGTGTACTTGTGGAATATTACAGCATATAATTATGGCAGTGAAAGATAACAGTATTATGACAGTCACAGTTAAAATGCCATGAAGAACTTTGAAAATAACAAACTTTCTTAATTTCTCACACTTATTTAGATCTTATTCATAGTAAATTAAGTTTTATATATAAATATTTGATGTGAAATAAAAGCCCTATTTGACCTGAACAAAATGATATATATAAGTGTGGGTGCAATTAATATTTAAGAGATAAATTATGGTTGACCAGACATAGTTTAAATTCAAGGATTTGTTTTGATCAGAACTTGTACAGTTGCCTCCGTCATTTTAGGTCAAGGGGACCCAAAGAATAATGCCTAATAGGGCAATATTCCTTTAAAAAAGTTATGTAAGAATGGTTAAAGTAACTCCTTTAGAGGTGTCCAGAGATTAATAATAGGAAATTCTCTAAATATGAAATTAATGCAGACAACTAATGTTAGTAGTGTTTAAAAAAAATATTGATTACATAGCCTTATGTGTCAGCCTTATCTCAATTCCTGTTCCAAAATAGAAAGACATATGTTTTGTGTAAACTTGAGAAAATTATTGCTGCTTCATAAATAAACTGATAAAGCACATGGTTTGTATTTTTTTTTCCATTGTAAGCCACCCTTCTAGATGCTATAACAATCATAAGTGACCTATGTCATTCACGCATGCCTAGGCTACCAGGGAAATATCATGTAATTACATATACATGCAATTTAAGAAGGGGATTTAAACTTTATAGCGGATTCAAACCAAGTGGGACCCATAGCAGAACATTCACTCATCCATTAGCTTGGCCTGACAGCGATTGCGTCAGTTATTACATTGTGTTATATATTATTAAATATTAACTGAAATATATGTTTCTTAGTACAATATCCCGCTACCACTACTGGTTCTTACATATCCATATAGCAAAGTAAAGGCATTGATAATTTATGACTCAAAGCTGTGTACCCTATGATGTATTGCTAGAAAATGTGCATCGTTCAGTGAAAAATAAAACATAATCTCTAAATAAGAGCTCTCTTGAACTGCATTACACTCTTTTGATTCACTTCACATCTCTTCTCTAAACCCCTAATTATAGACAAACAAAATATTATTCTTTTAATAAAATGCTGTTACATTTCATTTCGTGTTCTGAGCACATCAAAACACTAAAGTTAGAAAAATATAGACTGTGACTGTGTCTACTTCTCACTTCTGGTGGTATTTCAAGGGTTACTCCAATCCTCTTTAAGTGCACAGCTATTTTATATCAGTAATTCCTTAATGGGGACTTTGTATCCCTCAAAAAGATTAAAACTAAACCTAATAAAAATCAATAGACTTACCTAG